TCTCTGGCCTGGAAAATAAGACCAACAACAATTATATCTATTAAAATTCATGTTTCCGTTTCAATTACCAATGGTAAAGAACATACATAAATAATAAATTAGTACTAAATACACAATCCTAGACACAGGTTTAGTACACTTTAAGAAAAAAAATGGTAACACAGGGAGCCTGCCATATTAAGAGAAGGTAGGTAAGTAATTTCACAGTCAAAGACCATAAGCAATGGCTTAGCATAAAGAGGTATCAACAAAAGGAAAATAAAGAAAAAAGGCATACAATAAAAGACAGGAAGGCTAAAAGGCAAAAGGAGCTATAAACCCCTACAGACACACAAATAAAGGAGGGATCCAGGCCTTACAGAAAAGGAAGAGCAAATCACACTAGGCTAATGCTCTAAAAGTATCCTTGAAAAAGAATTTTTAAAAAACTAAAAAACAAAAGTTTTGCCCCACTCCTAAGAGATGTTTAAAAAAAAACCCCAAACAATTTTAAAAACACATTTTTCATTTGATAATCTGATGTGGAAGGCTTTAATTTACTCACATCACATTATACAAGCAAAAGTAAAGCAGAAATTTTATATTAAAAATTTTTTTTTCTAAAATAAGTTCATTTAGAATACTCTGATATTCCCCCCAAAGTAGCCAGCATCTTTGCCTAAAAGTAGAGGATCAGATTATTTAAAAACTAAGTTTTAAAAACTTAAAAGTATTCATATGTAACCCAACAAGAAAAATTAAGTCAACTAAGCAGAGACAAATTTAAATATAACTAGGAAACAATAAATTATAAACCAAATTATGCCTGAACTATTTACCATAATATTTTTCATCATAGATATGCTTTTTAAAAATCTTATATTTTAAAAGTTTAATGATTCTATATATTATTTATGTAAAATGCTTCTTTAACTCAGAAATGTATGTTACATTCTTTCCTGTCATAACTCATCTTCTTCTGGCTTATTTCAACACTATTTATATCTCAAAAAAAAAAAAAAGAATTTGAAAGTGAGGGGTAACTATTAATAGTTAACTTTCTCAGACATGATCCAAAATAATTTCACCTAAGTCCAAAGTCACTGGTAAAATGTAAAACCAGAGCAAAAATAGGTACAGATCTTAATGGAATCACTAAGAGAAATGTCTCCAGACCGATATCAAATATCCCAGCAAAGAATCAATGGCAATTAATTAGGAGAAGAAACATTGCACAAATAAGGTAAACTGTGATCTAGGAAAAAAGAAAACTTTCAAGAATGTATATAGCTCCACCTAATATAAAAATCCTCCCATCTCTCAAAAATAGTTCAGACCTCAAGGTAACCTGAAACCTATCTATTCCTAAAGAGTTTACTAAACAATATAATATTATAGACTTTTACACTTTAAAAATTAACTTTAACCCCTGTTAGTCACATCTATTTGCAAAACTTTGATATTCTGAACTATAAAGAATTCTGAACTATTTACTAAACACAATTACCTTCAGACTTTTCACTAATCCAGAGATGAATTCCCAACAATTTTTTAAATTAGTGAGGTTTTATTACTGCTTAATAACTTTTGCATCCATAAAAAATGCCATTTCAGAACAATACTTCAAAAACTAAACTAAGGGCTGTAGGTGGGGACTACTAGCAAATATAAAGGGAAGACAAGAAAATGGAAATAAATATACTTAGGGATAAGAACATGCCAAGAGGATGGTGCATGGAACAGAAACCCAAAAAAGAAGCCAAGCCTATATCCACCCTTCAAACCATACTAACCTTTCTGAGTCACTTTCAACAAGCATGCTTTTAGTTTACAGATTTAAAAAAATGACTTGGGGCATGAAATCCTGAGTTACATACAGGTTAACAGTCTGATTTCAGAAAATCCTAAGTTTCCTCTACTTAGCTGAGGCTCCTCCAATATTCTTCATGAATGCAAATGTATTTTTAAAGCTAAACAGCACTTCAGATAAATATGCACTCCAACTTTATTTTTTTATGTGAAAGATGAGGAATTAAAAGCCCAGAGAAAATAAAGCTATGATTTATCTAATATCACAGTTCAGGGGAGTAAAATTCCTACGTCCTATTTTGAGTTTTTAACACCATACTATCTGCTCCAAAATTATGCATTTAGATAGTTGTAAACACAGAGGTCTAAGGTACAATCTCTGAAGAAGCATAATCTGATTTGGGAGACAAAGTCAGACATGAAGAAACTAGAAAAAACTAAAAAGTATTTTTTAAAGCCTATAAATTTTCTAAGAGCTGGATTAAGGGTAAGGAAAAAGATGAGTATGGAAAACAATGAGGACATAAGTATTAGTGAAAGGCTTCTGTTTAAAACTATGCCAAATGTCATCCTATCTATAAAATAATCCATAAAATGGACTCTGACCTTGTAGGCAACTTGAGAATATTCATTTTCCATTATGTTGAATCTCAGGTAAGATCTCAACTTTTCCCCCTACTCTTCTAATAGAATACTACATTTCGATGGATGTTAAGGAAGGAATGAAGGTGGGGTAGGAAGAATGACAGATTCTGCATAGCAGAGAAAGAATCACGTTGGTTGGAATTGTGAATTTTTTCTGAGAAATTAAAATAATTTTATGAAGAGTACTGATGGAACTACTCTAGGATGGCCCTAAGAATCAAACAATTAAAGAGACTCAAATTAAAATAAACTCCAAGAAGTTCAGGAGAATAATATTCATTTATAAGGATGTTATTAAAAGAAACTTAAAATAAGGAAGGTGGTTTTTAAAAGTATATGTAATATCTTACATTACATACTGGTATATGTAATGTCTTAAGGAAAGAACTGGCAAATACTATGCTATAGTAATTATCAACTCTTAAGTTCTCTTTGTCACTATTTAGAAGACTTAAAGAACATGAGTTCCAAAGAATATCTACTGTGTTTCACGTTCACTTTCTCTTCTCTTCTCCAATGCCAGTAGGTTAAAAATAATCAGCTACTTTATTGACTTTTCTGTTCAATTGGGGTACCTTTTGCTTAACATTTTATAGTAACATCACCAAAGCTGATTTTAATCTGTATCTTCAAACTCTTGTGGGAGCCATAAAAAAAACAAAAGACACCTAGAAGTTAAGCTTTGCCATTTTTAAACAGACACACACACACACAAAAATATACATAACATAAAAGAAAGACTAATCCTAGGCAATAAGCTAGTAATAAAACAGGAAATTAGTCTTATCTATACTTACTTATTAAAATAGCCCTTTACTCTTGCCAAAAGAATATGAGCACCTTTAGAAATGCTATTTTTATTCAAACTGTTTAACTGGAACTACACAAATAATTGTCTTTAAACATTTACTGAGTGCCTTTATGCAAATAATAAAAAATTAAAAGAAAAAAAACATTTAGAGCAAACACTGGAGGAAAAGAATTGCAAAAACATTAGCAAACAAAGTCAACTAGATTAAGTATTTTTCACACACACACAAAAATAACAAAACAAGAATGGAAGGAGTTTCCAATAGGAACAAAACTACAAACCAAAAGGCAAGTAATGGTCAAGGCAGATATTTGGCTCTATTTTGAATTCTCAATAGCAAAAAAAATTGCATTATATTTTGAGTTCTCAAAGGAAAAATGGACTAAGTTTCTGGTCCTTTGTTAATGCAAATTCAAAACATCTGCAAAAGTTAACCCCTGGAGAGGAGTATAAGAAAGCAGAAAAGAATAAAAACATTAAAAAACAGCATTTTACTAAAGCATATTACAATATAATTAACCATGTTTATAACACATTTAAGAAAAATAGCAGTAACAGAAAAGCAAATATAAGAGAAAATATGAACAAAAGAGTTGCTCATTTACAGACTTCCCAAGTTAATATTGTGAAGTATATACCTTTGAGGGAAATCCACGTTTTCGGCTATATTTCCTATTAGGCCTCAGTTCCCTGTCATTCTGAGGAGGTCTGTCACCTTTCCCTTTTGGACTTGTAGTAACGTCAATGTCTGAAACCTGTTCTTGTGAAGCTGAATTCCCTAGTTTGTCCTCAATGAACGGCCGAATTCTCAGACTAAAAGATGCCTCCTTTATTAAATAGTGTAGCATATTAATTTCTTAACACAAACTCCTGTTTAACATACAAGTCACCCTTATAAATACAGAAAAGTTACGTCTATTCTTTAAAAAATCAATCCACCCTCCCACAGGTGTCAATAAACTTCCAACTTTTAAATTTCTGTACACTAGACTATTGCTTATTGTAATTATCTTATCCTGGACAATTTCCAAGTTATACAACTGCTGATGCATATTTTAACATTTATATTGCTGTTATTAATCCATTTCAATATGACTTTATGTTACAGAAAAATTCTCTTCATGGTAAGCACTATATAAAAATTGTAATAACCAACTATACCATTTCCCACCCATCCCCAACAGAATTCCTTTACCCACAGGGCCCCAACCCTTCCATTTCTGCTGGAATCAAAGGTGAGGAAGAAATTATTCCCAGCACCACTATAAACAGAAAAACAATTTCCTCATTAGAATCCATCCTTCTACAACTATTTTGATCAAGCCCTCTGAATATCTCCTAGTGAAAATAGTGTAGAGAAAAAAATTCAAATTTCCTCTTTAAATTAAGGGAAGAGAAAGGAGGCAGATAAGAAACTACTAGTATGCAGGTCAATATTAAAAGGAAACAAACCTTCAAATTCCTAATGCTGAATAGTATGTGGAATGAAAGATATACATATACCATGTTTCACAAGAAAAGCTTTACTGGTAACAGGTTTTGAAGTTTACTAATGCACAGTTATAGGTGCATCTATTAAAATAAAAATACTTGAAAGCAAAATAGTTTTAAAACACACTAATATCTCTGAACTAAGTGTATTTTACAAATCTTTCCTCAAAATTCTGTAAAATCCTGATTATTTTTCAAAATATATTTTAAGAAATCTCATTTTGTAGAGTCAGAAGTTATAGTATTTTTCTCTGTGTGAATAAATGACAATGAAAATACTACCTTGTCCAATTTTCATCTCAATTTTTCAGTCATCTGATTTGCTACAGTTCCTAGACTAACCTGAAAAATGAAAAATCCTAATAGCCTTAAAATGAGTCCTCAATGGCAAATGAACTTGGCGACTTGAAATAGACAATATGCTAAGCAGTGATACTCTATACTTATAGCTCTTATATCCATGATGAATTTGAACTTTCCCAATGCTGTTCAAAATAAGTAAACTTGTGCTTAACAAAACAAACTAGAAAAACCTTGTTTCTGTAAGCTGAAGGTCAGAAATTATTAGATTTTAAAATCAACCATTAAAACTACATTTTTAATGTTAATAAAACTTTTAAACTTCCAGGTTTAAAAAGAATATAGTCAGCATTAACAATTTGAAGTTTCTTCCCTGAAATATACTTTTCATTAAGGAATGCCTATAAAAATATAATCTTGAAAAATGGGAGAAAAGTTTAAATCTTCACTTCTAGCACTTTAATTACCAAAAGCCGCTTACCGTGGTATCTGAAGCCTCAGACTGCACATCTATGTTTAGCGATGTGCTCTCAGCTACAGAACCAGATCCCACAGCTGAATCTATAGTCCGAACATCCTCCTCCTCATTTTCTCTAGCCTGAAATATTTTAGTGGTATAAATCATACAACTATTAAAAAGGGCAGTAAAATGTTATAATGGATGGCACGATTTTCTGAAATATATCAACTCCTCTGACGTGGCACAGAATGTCATCAGTACATGTACACTGATATACTAAAAAATAACTCAATACATTACTTGAACGGTCCATAACTTACAAGGATTTTTTGGAGAAATCTTAGATACGACTTTTCTTGTTCTTTAAGGTGATCTATTAGATGCGTAAGACGCTCAACATTAGCAGATCTTTCATTTTTCTCTACAAGATCTTCCCGCATGGAACTAGCTTTAGCAATATAGTCACGAATCTGAACAAGCCTGCTTACAATCTGCTGGGGAAATATTTTTTTAAAAAGGCATAAAAGTAAATAGTATGTAAAACTGAGCATAATTCATTCCACAGCAACAACTTTATATACTTTAAACTTCAATGACTAAAAATACTTCTAAAAATTGTGTAAATTCATATATGCAAAACACCTGAAACAAATTTAGAATTTCATCAAAACATAATCAATACTAATAACTCCAATTACTGTTAATTTAAAATTTTCAAAATTCGTTTTTTACATATTTACATTACCTGAAAATTTTTATTTATAGAACTGCATATCAAACTATTTATATAAATTTTTGTTTATATTTATTTATAAATAAATATTAAATTATTATACTTTTGAAAGTACTTTTCCAAAGAATTATTATATCACCATTTTTAAAATTCTTACAACAATCTATTAATCACTTTGGCAATATAGTATTTGACAGATGAACAGCATCCTTGATCTATCTGAATATGTCATTTCTACTATTGTTTTAGGTAAAAAGAAATTTACTTTATTTTCAATAAATCTGACAGATTAATGAAAAGTGTCAGGGAGTACTTTAATTATACCTAATAAATATTCCTATGTGCATAATCTAATATAATTATACTAGAGGCCTGGTGCACAAATTTGTGCATGGGGATGGGTAGTGGTAGGACTGTGGGAGGTTGGCCTGCAGGCCTGGATCAGGCGATCGGGGCCAGTAGGCCAGGGGGAGGGGCCGGGGGAGGTTGGCTATGGGAGCACACTGACCACCAGGGGGCAGCTCCTACGTTGAGCATCTGCCCCTTGAGGGTCAGTACACATCATAGCTACCGGTCATTTGGTCATTCGGTCGTTATGGTCACTCAGGCTTTTATATATAGAGAGATTTTTAATGTTAATGTTTTAGACTTTGAGGTTTATGAAGGCAAAGAGCAAAAGAAACATTTTACCACCTGGCTGCTCTCCATTGCAGGCTCTCCTCTCCCATCTTCTTCAGAGACTTGACAGTTTTGCAAAAGGTCATTACTTAAAGCAGAAGCAAGCAACTCTTTACATTGTGCTGAGCCAGTAACTTCTCTCTTTTGAGGACCTGGAGCAGCATCTTTGCTCTTGTTAGTATTAATCTGCATAGGCAAGAAGTTGAAGGGCTTTCGGTTCTCACTAGGCTGACGTTTGTTATTAGCAGCTGTTGCTCGGCCTTGAGAATCACTTCCAATGCTTCTCTATATATGAAAAAAAAAACAAATCCAAACATTTACCTTACAACAATTAAAAAAATCTTAGTTTCACCATCAGATACTGATTCAGGTGTGCATAAACACCTTGTAGTAAGATATGAAATAGCTTCAGATCTACAAAATTCTACTAAAATATCAAAATTTGGTTAGTACAAATTTGATTCCTAATTTTCAGACTATTCAACTAAATGAATATCAGCAAGATTAGTCTACAGAAAATACTAGGACATATTTACAACTCACACTGCTAGTCTTACTTGTTCACAGATTTCTGTATAGGCTTTAGACCCAATGAATCAATGTTAATTAATAAGACCACCAGCATAAAGATTTGTTTTTATGAAGCAACGCCTGAAAAAGTACTAGGCTCAGTGCCTGGCATATAATATGTGTTCAATAATTAGTAAATAAATGACTAAAATGACATAATGGTCATCACCATACCAGACTTGATCTACATTTATGCATATCTGGAAACCTGTTAATCTCTATAAAGTACTGATGTGATAGTAAAATACTAAGAGTTCATTATCATTTACCCAAAATGGCAAATTATTCAGCTTTTAAAAGGATGGAAATCCTGACATGTGCTGCAACGTGGATGAACCCTGAGAACACTATGCTGAGTAAAATAAGCCAGGCACCAAGAGGACAAATACTGTGTAGAGCACATGTGAAGTTCATTAACATTAAACTCATCACCAACAGCACAAGTGTTATACCTAGTCCCACATGAAGTGCCAAGAGCAGTCCAATTCAGAGACAGAAAGTAGAATGGTGGTTGTCAGGGGCTGTAGGGAGGGGAGAATGAGGAGTTGTTTTTGAATGGGAACAGAATCGTAGTTTTCCAAGATGAAAACAGTTCTGTAACTGGATGGTGGTGATGGTATCACAATAAAGTGAGTGTAGCCGAAACCGGTTTGGCTCAGTGGATTGAGCATTGGCCTGCGGGCTGAAAGTTCCCGGGTTCGATTCCGGTCAAGGGCATGTGCCTGGGTTGCGGGCACATCCCCAGTAGGAGGTGTGCAAGAGGCGGCTGATCGATGTTTCTCTCCCATCGATGTTTCTAACTCTCTATCTCTCTCTCCCTTCCTCTCTGTAAAAAATCAATAAAATATATTTAAAAAATAAATAAATAAATAAAGTGAGTGTAAATAATGTCACTGAACTCTTAAAAATGGTGAAGATGGTTAATTTTTTATGTTATGTGTAATTTATCACAATTAAAAAAACAAAACCTCAGCATCTTAAAAAAAAGAGTTCATTATCATTTCTACTTGCTCTTATTTGTAAACTTTACTTCAGTGATTACTAACACAAACTCTAGTTTTATTCTAAATGAAGTTTATCCAGCACATTCCACACTGAGCCAATAATAAATATTCTAATATGGGTCTTCCTTTTTCGTTAATAGGAATCTTATTCAGTACTAACAAAATTTAGTTTCATAATGAAATCATTTTAGTAATAAGGTACAGTAACAAAGTAAAGAAAGATATCTTTAGCAAGTTTAGAAATAAGACCTGCTGCCCTTCAAAGAACCTACAGTATCATCACTAAAATTTTTTCCATGCACAGAAACTAAAAAAAAATTAAAAGCTCAATATTTTATTTAAAAGAAATTATTTAATCCATCTCAAATATTTCCCTTAGTCAAAACTTATTTTTAAAATAATTCACTAACCTGATCTAAATCACCGAAGTTTATCCGCTGTTTAAGTTTCTCCAATTCTGCCTGCTCTGGAACAGACATCTGAGTCATATATCTACTATGTGGAAATGTGTGTGGAGTCTTTGTCCTTCGTCTTCCAACTCCTGGTGATGACTCCGGAGAAATATCATTAGTTACCCTCTTATCACTTTCTACACCAAACTTTTTCTTATTCTTTTCTGATGATCTATTTGCCTTCTTCTGTTGGCCACCCCAATCCTTTAAAAAAGTAAAGGCAAGAGTTAATAGGGCCTCTATCAAACCAGAAAAATTACTTATGCTTAAAAAATTTTGGTCAGTCTTAAAAATGACCAAACACTTTCACATAACATGTAGTCTTAGAGACAATTATTTACTACTAGAGGCCTGGTGCATGAATTCATGCACAGGTGGGGTCTGGCCAACCAACCCCAATCAGGGCTGATTGGGGGCAGGGCTGGATAAGGGAGGGGCTCCAGGTGTTTGGCCAGTCATCCCCGCCCCTGATCAGGGTAGGGGGGCTGATCGGGGTAGGGGGGCTGATCCGGGTCAGGTCTGGTCAGGGGGAGGGGCCTCAGACTGCTGGCCAGTTGGCCCCACCCCCTGGTCGAACTCACTGTCAAACTCCCAGTCGCAGGGACAATTTGCGTATTAGCCTTTTATTATATAGGATTACTAAACCATCAGTTTTAGATTAGTACCAAAAAAAAAAAAATCCCCAAACTCCAACCATAGGGTCAGTCTTAATGTATATTTTCAAAAGCATTTTTATAAATGGTTATTATTTATAAACTAGAGGCTTGGTGTACAAATTCATGCACGGGTTAGGTCCACTGGCCTGGCCAGTGATCAGGACTGTCTCACCCAGTCCCAATAGGGGCTGGTTGGGGGGAGGGACCACAGGAGGTTGGCCGCCCATGGGAGGTTGGCTGTGAGATGGCACTGACCACCAGCGGGCAGCCCCTGCATTGAGTGTCTGCCCCCTGTGGTCAGTGTGCATCATAGCGACAGGTTATTTGGTGCTTCTAGTTGTTTGGTCGTAACGGTTGTGACCACCGCTGCTCAGAGCGTTTGAACTCTCTTAAGAGTGGTTTCGAGGGAGTTTCCAATCCCACTCCTTTTCCTCTAATGGTTTTCCTGCCCCTCCCCCTTCCCCTATGCTGGTCAGGAGAGCCTCTGGCTGCTCCCCTTCTAGAGCTAATCAGGGGAAAGAGCCTTTGACCTTGGCTATAAAAGCACCTGTCTAATCACTTAGTTTAGGTCAC